GAGTGACCACAGCGATGCAGATAGTTACATCTCTGAATGTCTGAGGTGGAGGATTTTCACCCCCCAATATGCAAATTAGCCTGCAGTACCACTGCTCTACCCATATGAGCAGCAAAAACACGTTTTTAGACCAAATATTACAGATTTGAACAAATACACACAAAAACATCAAAATTAGCACAGAAACAGTACTATATAACATTTTAGACACATTCTAGASAGTTTATCAGCTAAAAAAAGTTAATTTTGAGGTAAGTTACTCTTTAAATGTTCCTGGAAACAGTTAGGAATAGCTACTTTGTCAGTAATGTTTTGTGCATCCTTGACAATACAAGTTGATAATTTGTGTGTAATTTCATCTCCAAAAGAGAATTTAAATCACTCTAAAAAAATTGGGATCATTTAAATTTTGATTAATTTTATCAACATAAAACTGGGATTTTGTCTTTTTAACAAAGGAAGTGAAAGAATTTCTCAGTTTGAAAACCGGCCAATCACTCTGGGGTTCAGACTGCCTGACCTTAGCTCAAACATTATCTCAATCTTTTAGCAGATTAGACAGCTCAGCAGAGAACCAGGGCTTATTTCTACCCTTTACTTGAAATGTGCAAAGAGGAACCTGTTTGGTAATAAAAACCAGTTTAAAACATCCTAAAAGTATTTCAGAGCCTGTTCATCAAAGACAGATAAGCTTGTCCAATGAAAGAGCCACAGATCAGGCTGGACAGCTGCTCACAGAAACGCTTCATATCTCTTCAGTGTAGTGTAAACCCCCTCACCTCACTTCACCACTGGTTCTGGTTGACCTTTGACCACCTGGGCTCAAACAGTTTCAGCTCCTGCTGACAGCTATAAAATAATAAAAGCTTTGCCTTTCCTCTCCTCTGAGAACCAAACATGTTCCCAAGACATTTGCTCTTTGTTGATAAAGCAAACAAAGTGAAACAACACTTCTGTTTTTGTTTTCCTTCAACATGTTCAAATGCTTAAACCCTTTAATATGTTTGATTTTTGACTTTATTTTTAAAGGGCTCTCTAATTTAGCTTATAATAATTTGCATTTGTTTTGAACATGTTTAGAAATTTATGAGTTAGTGGTAACAGAATATATATATCTTAATTAATGTTTATATTTTATCTTTTAATTTCTTCTGTTTTTAATAAGCATTACTCAGTCATTTTAATAGTCTAGGCAGTGTTCATAATTTATCATTAGTTCATTAGGATGTTGATCTAATGTCTGAGAACTGAGTTTCTCTTGTTCGTAAATGTTCGTGTCATTTACTGATGTTGGGCTTTCATACAGAACACACACACACACACACACACACACACACAC